AGTTTTAAAATTGAATATAACGTAAAACAGTGTTTTTATATATCTAATGCATTTGGATATTTTTGTTTTGTTTTGTCATTTCATGTGGGATTTATACATGTGCGCCACTTCCATATACTAGTTGTGTATTGATACAGATGGTCTATTCTCCAAACACTTGGCTCCCTCAGTCATGATATGATACAAGTATCTCATATCTATGAAATTGACAGCAGAGGTGAACGACATACGACAACAGTAGGGAGAAATTGACAATTACCAAATGATACAACAATCGTCATCATTTTCAATGGCTGTGCTATACATCCCGAAGATTCAGTTGTTTACTATATACGCGAGTTTTGATTAGATAACAATCTACTTCTTTTGAAAAACTAATACATAGTAATTAAATGAAGATGCTTTGTGAGAAATTACAAGAATTGTTTATTTTTATTTTTATAAATTGGAGTAGTCATTTCAATTTTTTTAGTAGTTTATCGGCTTTGGAAGTTTTTTTTTGTTTTTTTTTTATTTAAACAATATTTTTATTTTGTTTCAATAATGGACATACAACACAAAATATTACATCACATAATGGAAAAGTAAAGAAAAAATAAAACTAAGAGAAAAAAAGAAGATAAAAAAAAAAAAAAATGATCTGGTATAACATCTAAATTTACCCATTATCTAACCAATTAGTTAATGGTTCCCATTTCTGATAATGGATAAGCTCTTTGTTTTTGTTTATTGCGATTTGTAGTTCAATATTTCTATTTTCCCTGATCCAACTTTTATATGCGTATTTTGTTGGATGAACCTTTTGAACCCTACATGTATATACATATTTTTTAAATAATAAAATAAAATGATTTAATAGTATATTTTCCGGTTCACATAGACCTATAATAATATTTTTGACATTACAAACCAAATTGGCAATAAGTTTGCAATCACTTTGCAACAGTCTCCACAGTCTCTTTACAACAATACAGTTAACACATAGGTGTTCTAATGTTTCTTCTTCTTTTTCACAAAAAGAACAGTGGGGGGAATTGATTATTTTTCATTTATACAGTTTTACGTTAGTTGTTAAAACTCTGTGTAGAATTTTGTATTGAAATGCTCTAAGATCTGTGGAGATTGTTGTCTTGAAAGGTAGTTTGAAAATTACATTTTGTTTCATCCCATACAATGATGAAGTCTATGGGCA